CCAGAGTGTTGTTCAGCATGGGGGGGAGTAGAAAATGAAGGCTAATCATGTTTTGGGTGTACTATTCCTTTAGGCTGAGCTCAGCTGACCCGCAGCGCTGGAGCTTTGAACCCATTTTAAAGGTTGATGAATTAAAGACAGGCATCATTGCTGAGTCCTGCTTGTCTCGGACCTTCACTGAGCTCCATGGTTGTTCCTCTTAGATCTGCTCTGTGATTGGCTGAGAGCAGCAGCTCCGCCCACCATCACCATGGCTGCACAGTTTCTCTTCAGCATAATAATCTGGGTATTGCTTCTCCAGGCAGAGCAACCATGATGAAGTACATCCTGGTGACGGGCGGCGTCATCTCCGGCATCGGCAAAGGGATCATCGCCAGCAGCGTGGGAACAATCCTCAAGTCGTGCGGTCTGCGTGTCACGGCCATCAAGATCGACCCGTACATCAACATTGACGCCGGGACCTTTTCTCCGTACGAACACGGTAGGACGGGACCGGCGGCCTGCTCAGATTAGGCCGTGGAGCCGCAGGTTCTGATGGGTCGTCTTCTAATCTCCAGGTGAGGTGTTTGTGCTGGATGATGGCGGCGAGGTGGACCTGGACCTGGGCAACTATGAGCGCTTCCTGGACATCCGGCTGACCAGAGACAACAACCTGACCACGGGGAAGATCTACCAGTCAGTCATCACCAAGGAGAGGAGAGGAGACTACCTGGGGAAGACGGTTCAGGGTAAGGAACCGGCCAGAACCGAACCGTAGGAGGACCCTGGGATCAGGGTCATAACGTCTGACTCATTCCTACGGCAAGTCGGAAGGACACGATACAGGGAGTCCATTTTCCTCTTGAACAGCCGTAAAACTAAGAATCAGGGAGATGAGTTTATAGGAAGCGGTTCTGGTTCTGTACCGGGATCCTGGGGCAGCTGACCCGGTTAGTTCTCTTCTTCTTGCATATAGAGCTTCATCTAATAGACGGGAAGGCCATGAATGAGAAAACATTAAAGACCTTCAGATGATAGAGATCAATCATTTCTGACCTGTAATCAGACCTGGATCCACATCTGCTAGAACTGATGGACCTTCAACTAAACTCCCACAATCCTTTGCTGCATCATATGCTCAGCCGCACTCTGCAGCTGGATTATAGCCTGTTAAAACAAATAAAGGGATCATGT